ATTTATTGTTGAAATGGAGTAAACTTTGAAATGAACGCGTGATTGTTGTTCACTCCATCGCTCTCTCGGCATTAGGAATGGCGAGTCACGCGGGGAGTGGCACAGGCCGCGAATTGCGATTTCACATTTGCCGGCTGCGAGCGGCGATCTATCGTGGCACGTGCTGGTTTTCACTATCAACAATCGCCATCAACAATCGTGGCACGTGCTTGTTTTCGCTATCAACAATCGCCATCAACAATCGTGGCAAGTGCTTGTTTTCGCTATCAACAATCGCCATCAACAATTATGGCAAGTGCTTGTTTTCGCTATCAACAATCGCCATCAACAATTACGGCACGTGCTTGTTTTCGCTATCAACAATCGCCATGAACAATCGTGGCAAGTGCTTGTTTTCGCTATCAACAATCGCCATCAACAATTATGGCACGTACTTGTTTTCGCTATCAACAAATCGCCATCAACAATCGTGGCACGTGCTTGTTTTCGCTATCAACAAATCGCCATCAACAATTGTGGCACGTGCTTGTTTTCGCTATAAACAATCGCCAACAACAATTGTGGCACGTGCTTGTTTTCACTATCAACAATCGCCATCAACAATCGTGGCACGTGCTTGTTTTCGCTATCAACAATCACCATCAACAATCGTGGCACGTGCTTGTTTTCGCTATCAACAATCGCCATCTTCAATTGTGGCACGTGCTTGTTTTCGCTATCAACAATCGCCATCAACAATCGTGGCACGTGCTTGTTTTCGCTATCAACAATCGCCAACAACAATTGTGGCACGTGCTTGTTTTCGCTATCAACAATCGCCATCTTCAATTGTGGCACGTGCTTGTTTTCGCTATCAACAATCGCAATCAACAATCGTGGCGCGTGCTTGTTTTTGTACGTATTCGTGCCACTTGGGATTTAACAAATGTCCCTTTAATCACCGATCGACTCGTTCGATCAACGATTCAAGATTCCACTTCAGTATTTTAACTGCTAATTGTTTGTGCTGCAATAGAAATTGGTCCACGCTAAATTGTTCCCTTACGGTATTGGGGGGAAATCAGTCATATTTTCTATGGTACAGACTGCTTCAAAACAATGTTAACACTTACATGGAACTATTGTATTTGATGGAAAACATTGCACCCTCCCCGGGTAAAGTTTATGAAATGGTACTTTGGGGCCGTCCATAAATGACGTCACGCACCTAGTGGGAGTGGGGGTCAGACATTTGTGACGATGTGTGACGAGGGGGAGGGGGGGTTGAGAAATGTGACGTCATATCAAAATGCACAACATTAAATAAATATAGACAACACGTTCTACTTAATTAAATATACTTTTAAATAAATGTTTTCTCCTACAGCATCAGAGTGCAGCGCCACATTAAATACGCGCTACAATGACAATAGTTTAAAGCGATTTGAAGCATGTTTTATTTTCTTGGGGGGCGGGGGGGGGGCAGAGCTTTGTGACGTCATATTTGAGTGGGGGATCTGACTTTTTGTGACGCCGTGTGACGAAGGGGGTGGGGGGTCAAAAATCATCCAAAATCGCGTGACGTCATTTATGGACGGCCCCTTTGCCACTGGTGATCCTGCTTGGTAATCCTGTGCCTGACTGGGAGACTGCTTGGGGAATGTGGCCACGTACTCGGTTATATACAGTCGGCTGTGACAGATAGAGATGGTCGTGGAGATTATTTGACCATACTTATGTATGTTGAACTTCTTTCGCACCGTACGTAGCCAACCGTGCTAATCGGAGGTTCACGGAGGGGGGGGGGGGGGAAGGACAACAAACGATACACAAAAAGCAGTCCCAAAGAAATGGAGTTTCAATCTCGATTTAAAAGCGCACAGCTCCAGTGACTTCCTAATAAATACTGATCTGGTCGGTGAAAGAAATTCTATTTCCCTCCACTGAACATTTATCAAATTTCACCCGGCTAAATTCCACTTTGGAATTCCATACAATCGTAGCCCCTCCTCCCCAGATCTGTTACAACGTTGCTCAAGTCAATAAACGTGTCACACTCTTTATCCGTAGGTGTTTAGAGTGCTGTTTGTTGCTGGCCGCTTTGACGTTTTGGGGCTTTTGTGCTCAGCAACGGCACCGCGTGGCTTTCGCTGCCAGGCCATTGGCCGCCCAAATGTCAGCACTTTGGAAGGCCACAATTATTATTATTATTGTTATACTGGTAGGAACCTCCTGGTTACAACACCAGCAGCCCACAGGTGATTATTGTTGTGTCCGTCCGTCGTGCATCCAAAATGGGAGGGGTGGGGCTGGGTGGAGAGGGGAGGGTGGGGAGGGGCTGGGTGGGGAGGGTGGGGAGGGGCTGGGTGGGGAGGGGAGAGTGGGGAGGGGAGGGTGGGGAGGGGCTGGGTGGGGAGGGGAGGGTGGGGAGGGAGGGGAGGGGCTGGGTGGGGATGGGAGGGTGGGGAGGGGCTGGGTGGGGAGGGGAGGGGCTGGGTGGGGAGGGGAGGGTGGGGAGGGAGGGGAGCGGCTGGGTGGGGAGGGGGAGGGTGGGGAGGGGCTGCGTGGGGAAGGTGGGGAGGGGCTGGTCACCCCGTGGTGCCCTTATAAAACTCAATGTTTAACCAACTCACGCCGGCTTGCGGAATACACGACGCCGCCGTTGACCCTGGCCATTGACCGAGCAACCCAACGTTCCTACCAGCTCCCTCCGCAGGAATGTGTTTATGTTGAGTTTTTTGCGTCCAGCTATGACCCATGCCTCTAACATTACCAGCTCAAGCAAGCCTGGCTGCTGTCTGGTTTAGATATTGAGACACTCAGTATCTAAACCAGACAAGATGCTTGCGCGTGTTAAAAAAAACAATGCTTTTTAAATAACGCGCTCCCAGAATGCCACGTGGCTGATGGGATGTATGCAAAATAAAATGTCATTTGACGGATCGGGTGCTTAAACGAAGAAATGTTTGGGTTTAAGAGCGCTTCATGGGGGTGTACATTCAGTGCGGTCCTCGATAGTATAGTGGTTAGTATCCCCGCCTGTCACGCGGGAGACCGGGGTTCAATTCCCCGTCGGGGAGAGCACAATTTTTATTTTTTTATTAAGAATTTTTTTCTTTTTTATTCAGCAAACCTCATTCTATCTTTAATTCTGCATCCGCCAGAATCCATTGCGCTTCACTGCCATATTTTTACTCGTACGAAATGAGTAACATTTAAACATACGCCAAGTATCTTGTATGCGTAACATATCCACATCAGTGCAAAGGGGCAAGGGTATTTTGTGTAGATGCGACTTTTATCCAGCAGACGGCGCTGAACGAGAAAATGTAAAGAGCCTTCGATTCTCACGGTTCGAGGCCTCGAGGGGACACAATGGATTACATTGGCGTAATGTTTTTTTTTTATCCATAATGCCGGACCCAAACATTCCAAACGACGAATTATGTTCGTGGCAACTTCTGTCCGATTACTGTGTTGTCTAATGCCAGTGGTAGAAATTATTCAATTATTCAACCCCACCAACGGAAAGTGGTGGGGTTGACAGGAACAGAATGAATTTTGATTTAAAGCTTTCGTGACTGCAGTGTCATACTCTTGGTGCTTTCGGTAAAGTCACGTTGAAGGGAAACAATAAAATAAAAAAGCATATTTATATATTTATTTATATTTCATATAATCTTATTTTATTGTTTCCCTTCAACGTGACTTTACCGAAAGAACCAAGAATAAGAATAGGAACAGAATGGTAGGCTTTAAAAAAAATACATTCGACCATTTTAATTGCTTGACTTAAAACAAATATCATTAGACCTTCTTTGCCAGTACCAATATATAATAATAGGGTTTTTCCCCTTTTTTTCTGGCAACAAAACTGAAACCTTTTTACAAGGAATCGTGTTTGCATTCACCACAATACTTGTGGTCTAGCACCAATTGAGACGAGGCTCAAAAGAAAGCCGTCTCTGGTGTGGACCAATCAGTTTCAAGAACAATGCATTTATTATCAGTGTTTTGTTTGCATTTTGACCACAAGTATTGTGGTTAATGCACACATTATTCCTCGTAAAAAGGTTTCAGTTTTGTTGCCAGAAAAAAGGGGAAAACCCTATTATTAAAAAAAATGTTCACAGCTTGTACACATCTCATGAACATTAGCCTCTGTGAAGGCACTCGAGGTCAGATTGGCGCTACGGTGACGAGATGTTAACTACCTCGCCTGGTATGCAGGAGGTCGTGAGTTCAATCCCGACCCTGACGCCTATTTGTTTGGAATTTGCATGTTATCCCCGTGGTCGCGTGGATTTTTCTCCGAGTCTTCCGGTTTTTCCCTCCACATTTAGAATCAACATGCGTTTGGAATATTTTTGGAAAAATAGCTATATAGCTTCGTGGGCATTACCTCATAAAAAATATCGGATCAGTATTTAACATGAGATCGTGGAGAATACAGAATAACATCTCCTTCATATATTTGTCTTGCCACCTAAACAAACTCTGGACCGATTTTGATTTAAACCTTTCGTGACTGCAGTAATTCATATTCTTAGCTCTTTCGGTAAAGTCACGTTAAAGGGAAACAATAAAATAATAAAATATATAAAACAATAAAAAATTATCACGTTTCACCTGATGATGACCATTTGTGTTATGGTCGAAACGTCGTGAGAATTTTTTGTTTTATATATTGTATTATTGTATTGTTTCCCTTTAACGTGACTTTACCGAAAGAGCTAAGAATATAAACTCTGGACCGCTTTTGACAAGCAGTGTCTCACCAGCGGTCAGGCTTGCTCGATCTGGTGACATCTTCATTGCTGATGCATCATCTGGTTGATGGCACCAGTGTCTGTTGTGGAATAGTTTGGCGACTACTCTGAGCAATGAATGCCCTTGTACTCTATCTGTCTTCACGTGATTTGGTTAATTAAATTAGTTGCAATGATATGACCCTCATGTATAGTCAAAGGTACATGGTGACACAAATGCAACAGGTATACATACTCAGCCAACACCTTTAAGAAAGCATCCAGCAGTGAGTTTATTTCAATTTAAATCAACAATGAATTAAAACATTACACGTGCATTGTGCTCTCGAACGACTCTTATAAAACGTCACTCTGTGAAAGCTCCTCGCCAAAATCTGTGCACATGGGTAGCGCCTCGCCCGTGTGTATTACACGGTGCTTTTTTAAATATGAATGCTGTGAAAACCCTTTCCCACACTCCGTGCATACGTGTGGCTTTTCACCCGTGTGTATTCTAAAATGTTTATTTAAATCGGATTGCTGCGAAAAGCCCTTTCCACACACATTACACGCGTGCGGCTTCTCGCCCGTGTGCGTTCTAGAGTGTTTATTTAAATCGGACTGCTGAGAAAACTCCTTGCCGCACTCCTGGCACGCGTGCGGCTTCTCGCCCGTGTGTGTTCTGGAATGCTTCTTTAAATCGGACAGCTGTGAAAAGCCCTTGCCGCAAACACTGCACACGTAAGGTTTTTCACCAGTGTGTATCCTGCAGTGCGTCTCTAAAGTGTACCGTCGCGAAAATCTCTTCCCGCAATCCTTGCACTCGTGTGGCCTCTCACCGCTGTGTATTCTCGAATGCGTCTTTAAATCGGATTGCTGTGAAAAGCTCTTCCCGCACTCTTTACAAAAGTACGGTCTTTCACCGGTATGCGTCCTAGAGTGCTTCTTTAAATCAGAATGCTGTGAAAAGCCCACCCCGCACTCGTTGCACACGTGCGGCTTTTCTCCCGTGTGCGTTCTCACGTGCCGCTTTAATTCACAGTGATATGAAAACCCCTTGCCACACTCCTCACACCTGTGTTTCCTCCCATCACTGGCACCTGTCATGCTCAATGCAGTGCCTTCAAGTGTCTTCCCGCATTGCGTACAGGCGCGTGGAGCCTGGCCGCCGCATTTTGCTTCGTCCACTTCAGCTGTGAAGCATCTGCCAAGCCCGCACTCCTCGCACAGGATGTCCGTGTCTTTGTCTGCATCACCTGCCACACATTATTGCACACGTATAATCATGAAACATTAACCATTTTCTATCAGCTGCTAGATGAAGGTCTCCCCACATCATCATCGCCATCATTCATGGTCTTACGGTGTCACAATCCACCTCACTGCTACACACGAATGGATATCATCGCTCCACCTATGGTGGTCGTCTTTGTGAGTGTTCCCTCATTTGGCTGTCAATCCATAACCAGTCTGGTCCATCAGCCATCTTCTAGCCATGATGGGTCCCGCAAAGCCCAATTGCTTTTCAAAACAGTCTATGGCTCTCTAATCCATGTGTTTCTGTTTTGTCTCTCAAGTGAAATACTCAGCATCCATCACTCCATGCTTCTTTGCACTTTTCAGATTTTTGTTCTATATTCTTTGCAGGTCTCCACATTTCTTATTCATATATCACAGGTAATCAACACGGACTGAACACTTAATTGTCTAGGCATATATAGCACCATATTTCCAGATGGTTGAGCAAGGCCTTTCAAATTATTCCGTAAGTAGTTCTGTGGTGGGATTGTCGACAGCCGTTCTGACGTAATGTGAGGCTCTACTCAAAGTTCCATCGTAAGTTTTTTTCATTAGTGATACAAATGTAATAGCAGCACAACTCTGAGATGATTGGTGAATAAAACAATTGTTTATTTTCTTCGTAATGTGATCAAAGGGAGCTCACCTTCACCAATTACCTCCTCCAATAACTCCGTCTTGATAAAGTTCTGGTCTGGAGTGGCCAGGCAAACATTGGAATCTCTTGCATCCTCTGGGGTCTCACTTGCTCCTTCAACTTTAACAATCTTCAGATCCAGAACTGTAATGTCAACATCATCATGTAAATCTACTGCTCATCCACAAATGGATGAGGCCCTCCCCACTAGCGTGCGGGTCGTAGGGATTATTTGCCCCATAACTTTACCATGCTGGTCAATTTGGATTGGTGAAAATGGGAAGCATAGGCATAAGAGCACACAAGTACAGTACAACAATGCATTGTTCATGCATGGGCCTTTGCTGTCCACCACGTAGCTACACAGCCTACAACACCTGTTATGCATGGTGGTCGCCCATCCAAGCACTGTTCAGCCTCAGTCTTGCTAAGCGTCCGGGATCTGACAAGATTCCATGTTTTGGTTCCAGGCTCATTATTTCATATTTCAAATGCACTTCACACGTCATCACATCTCCAAGTGCATTTAAGCTGGTTTACCATATGAACCAAACATCCATAGAGCTATAAACACAACATTAACCGATTGGTTTAGATATATAATACAATTAAAATATCTTAACCCATTTAACTCATCCTCAGCATTCTCTTTCACCATCCCACACTGGTAAGTATTAAGTTCTACATACGTACAAACATGAAGAACTGGATCTTGACTTAAAGCTTTCGTGACTGCAGGAAATTTATATTCTTTGGGTCTTTTGGTAAAGCCACGTAGATAGAAAAAATAAAAAAATATCACGACGTTTAGATCGCAACACAAGCAATCGTCATCAGGTGAAAAAAAAAACGTCCTGATATTTTTATTATTTTTTTCTATCTACGTGGCTTTACCGAAAGACTCAAAGAATTTGAAGAACTGGAGTCAAACCCCCATTGCCAACACAGCGTGGGAAGGCCTTCATCCAGCAGGGGCTTGATGATCGCGATATCGAGAAGTATATAAAACAGAGGGACTGCAGCAATGTGAGAGAATCCAACAAAAATGGCACGGATGTCGTACATCCCTTGCTGTTCAATCTTCATTTTAATTTCCTGCAGAAACTCAGAGCAGGACGTTTCCTCGAGGTCTTGCTTGCTCGAGAGCGCTTAACGAATGGCACCGCAGGTACGGAACGTATGTAAGAACATGACTTTGTAAACATAATGCCCATTGTGGCTGACATGTAAAATGTATAATATTCATGTGATTCATCAACAGCATTCACCTCCTGCAGTGGAGACAGCCCAGTGGTCAGCACGTTCCCCAATGAGTCCAGTTTGCACAGTGGATGGCGGTGAATGACTGCCAAAGCCGTCTGGACATTTTTACATCATCCCAGTGTCAGTGATGATGGAGATCTCAACATCGCAGCGAACATCCATTCTATCCCTAACTTCCGATTTCCTTGATATAGTCCCAGTACGCAGTATTCTTCCACTTCCCTAAACATCGTATCCTTTAATGGTGAGAACCCAGTTCAATCTGGTCTCTGCTGAGACTATTCTACAGGGACTGTCCTCCTACATCTAATAAATTACCTCTTCTGCGTAGGACCCTCCTGAAAAAAGTATTGGGAACTCAGTGAGGCTATCCTGGGTAAAGCATAATAAAGAATTCATCCTCTCTTCAGACTGTGGATCCATTTCACTCCTCACTCTTGCAGACCTCATTGCTGCACAATGACCAATCCAGAACCCTTGGCAGTCTTCCCCGACTACAGAAGCGACATCTGGAGAAAAAAACATATTTCCATTATTCCTCTCTGCCTGCCCGCGTGAAAGGGTCTTACCGTCTTCCTCTACTTCAGATTTCACCAAAATCTTCATTATCTCAGTGCCCAGACTCCCTTCGTCCTTGTGCTTCATGACTGCCCCTGCACACGTGCATTGTGACATTTCGACTGTTACAGAAGAATGCTGTGGCGAGAGAAGTTGTGGGGACAGTGGTGGCAAAGTAGCTCGGGGTGGGGGGGGGGGTGCTAAACACCACGGTCAGAGGACACTGAGCCAGCAGCTCAAGAGGTCCTGGGGTTCTAATCTGGGTAAAAACTCAGAATCTCGGAGGTGCCGTCTCAGTACTCTGGACTTGAGCTACCTGGCCACATAGACTATTGGTGATGTTTACCAATCTCACCATCTTCACGTACCAGTGCTTCTTTGGAGGCGTGGCGAACCGTGTTACAAGACCGCAGACACAGTAGTATTACTCAATACAATATGTACATGCTGCACGACTTTTCCTTTAATATTTAACATTTTCTTTAATTGCTACAAAACAAAAAAAAGATTACGTACTGTATTGACAGCAATATAAATTCAGTGCAAGGAACACACTTAGTTGACTCATAAGAAAAAAAAGTCAGTAAATTTTGTTTATTTACCAGACAATTGTTTCTGCAAGATAATTTCTCTCAGAGACGCTAACTGCAAAAGCTTCACTGGCTCAACATCCTTCTGTGCCTTGAGCCACGTCATCACAGTTCTTAAGGCGTTCAGTGCTTCCCGAGCAGTCGGCAGATCGGCAGGCTCCACATCTTGATCCTCCGACTCTTGGCGACGTCCTTCTGTTCGCAACAAACGACATTTCCCCCCACCCCACCACCACCCCCAAGCAATTTCGTACGACATCCTTTGAAATAAAGCTGCACGCAAGACCACCATGGGTACTGCCACTTCCTTTCAAAGTTAGCCCCGCTTTAGACATTCAGAAACTTTACTTTATGGAGAAAGCAATGTGAACAGTAGCTAGCTCCCATCTGTAGTTTACTTTGAAAGTATGGATGATTCCCTGATCATGGGGCTGGATTAGGGGACATGGTATTTCACAGGAGACGCAGAACCTTTATCTCTACATCCTTGGACATGAGGTTCCAGCAGGTAGGTGAGCCGGACAGTCATCTATAAAAGCAGCGATGCCTTTGCTTCCAGGCGCAACTCTTTTTTTCAAATGCTGGCGGACCAATGGACCAAAACTGTCTTGAAGCCAGGTCAATAATACGTTTGTAGTCATACGGTCATTTGAGCTGCTTGTGTGTTGCACAGAAAGTTTTTCTTTTTGTTAGATTTACAAATTTAAAGAATCGCGGACTCTTACTTTTCCCCGATACACAAAGGTGGCAGCGTATGTGTTCCCGCTTTGTTAAAACAAAAGCGTGGCTTTCTGTCATTGCTCAACTTCCAAGCCTGCTTTGTTTCTGGGCTGATTTCAGGTCCCAGAGATGTGTCGGTAGGTAGCATCCAAGAGAACAGGGCAGATTTCATGGCAACTCTACTGATGATGCTCGTCACGGTATAAACGTCCCTCTCAATGACACATTGGAATTCGACTGGAATACTGCAGGGGCACTTTCGGTCTCGGGTGACTTTCTGACTCACCGGCGAGCGTTATTTCCCCGATCCCATGGCGTTTTTTCCAGCGCCAAAGCCACCCGTCGCTGGCACGGAATTTGCCTTCTAGTTTGAGGTCGCAGAAAAAGGTCTCGGCTTGCATCTTCAGTGCGGGTCCCGACACCGGCGAACCCAAGCTGCGCTTGTGAACAAACCACGCATACAAACAGTCGTCCACTATCTCGTTCCTGCTGAGCCTCGTCTTCTTCCTTTGCAGTCCAGGAGCTTCGTCCAACTTGTCCAGGAACCAACGTAGCCTTCCTTCCTCTGCTATCCATCCGCGTATCGTGCCCTCCGGAATACCCAGCTCCCTATTAATGTGCGCCTTTGAAACCCCGCTCTTTACCCGTTCAATAATCGCGAGTTTTTCCTTAATGGTGTACGACTTTCTCCTATTCACGTTCGCCATTACCCACAAACACATCGAATCATACAACAAAGCACAAATGGTACCGTCTGCGAAGCTCGCACAGTCATCGGATAATAATAATAACAACAGGACGCCACTGACAACTTCACTAGAGCCAAGGAACACCTCGGACTATTATTGTAGAGTGAGCGGGGAGGGGAATGGGAAGATTCCTCGCTGGGCGAGACCACTGTGGGGACGTAGGTGGGGGACGCGGGGAGAGGCCCGCCGTGTATCCGAATCCGCCGTGTATCCGAATCAGCCGTGTATCCGAATCCGCCGTAAATCCGAATCAGCCGTAAATCCGAATCAGCCGTAAATCCGAATCAGCCGTAAATCCGAATCAGCCGTAAATCCGAATCAGCCGTGTATCCGAATCAGCCGTGTATCCGAATCCGCCGTGTATCCGAATCAGCCGTGTATCCGAATCCGCCGTATATCCGGATCCGCTGTGTATCCGAATGGCGTTATAACCGGGGAGCGCTGTACTGATTTAAGGCGGGCAGGCAGAGAGGTTCAAATATTCGCCACCGTGGCGACTGTGGTGGTCGTGAGCTCGAATCGAACTGGGATAGCCGGGGGGAGGGGGGTTCGTGGCGCGCTAAAACCCCAACAACACCGCTCACCCCACACGCAACAGATACACACGTGCACAGATGGATACACACAAGATACAAACAGACACACGCGCATAGATACACAGACAGACATACACACACGCGCACAGATAGACACGCACACAAAGCCGAGACAAAGATCCCCCCCCGTATAGCCTCACACACATACAAGACAGAGACACACACAGACAGACAACACACACACAGACAACAGACAGACACACAGACAACACACAGACAGACAGACAACACACAGACAGACAACACACAGACAGACAACACACAGACAGACACGAGCGTTGTACTCGGCGCTGCCCCTGTCGAGGGCAGACGCGTGGAGCCGCTCAGCTGGAGCGGCAAGATGCAGGGCAGAACGAACGGCGTCGAGTCACAGTGCCGGAAGAAGTTAGCACGCGGGGCCTGTACGATATTGTTATAAAGGGGCCCTAAAAATTTTTAAAATATATTAAAACACACAATTTTTGTTTTACTTGCATAGTAAAGTAGTTGTATTTTTTTTCATTTGCCAGATAATACGACAAATCGCTAACCTTAAACACCCAGTCGTTCATGAAAGTTGAAGGCGGTATAGTACTATAGTAATAGAGCTAGTGCAGAATAACTGCACCGGAATTGATAGCTTGAAAGCATTTAGCGCGGGGCCATTGAAAGTGCGGGGCTTGTGGCTAGTAGTTACTATATATGTAGTAGCTACTACATATATAGTAACACCACATGTGTAGTACATATATAGTAACTACTACTTGTGTAGTAACTACTAACTACTACACGTGTAGCAGTTACTGCACGTGTAATAGTTACTGCACGTGTAGTAGCTACTACTACACGTGAAGTAGTTACTGTGTAGTTACTGCATATGTAGTAGCTACTACATATATAGTAACTACTACATGTGTAGTAGCTGCTACACATGTAGTAGTAACTACTACACGTGCAGTAGTTACTGCAGTAGTTACTGCACGTGTAGTAGCCACGAGCCCCGCACTTTCAAGGGCCCCGCGCTAAATACTTTAAAGCTATCAATTCCGGTTCAGTGATTCTGTACTAGCTCTATTACTATAGTACTATACCGCCTTCAACTTTTATGAACGACTGGGTGTTTAAAGTTAGCGATTTGTCGTATTATCTGGCTGCATAGCAAATGAAAAAAATACAATTACTTTACTATGCACGTAAAAAAAATCATATTTGTGTTTTATTTTTTTATTTAGGGCCCCTTTATAACATCATTATGCTACAGGCCCCGCACAAGCTTAATACGGCACTGCGCAAAGCCATAAACTAAACAATGTTTAACTGTGGTCCCCGATTCTGTATCGGGATCTCGGTGGCTGATCCCACTATACCGAGAAAACCCGTGGTCATGTTAATTTCCCGACCGCCTTTGTCTTCCGAGACGACTCGCCACCGTGGCCGCGACTCGAACTCGCGCGCTAACCGCAGCGCCACCGCTCCCCGCGCCGAGCCGATCGCAACGCTCCCATCGCCACGCGGATTCTTTCGAGACGCGAGTCGGGCGACGTCGTCAAGGCGGTAGAGATATGTGTGAGAGAGAAAGAGATCAGGAGGAGCGAGGACTCGACGCTCACCTCTTCACCTCTCCACCTCTCTCCTCTTCACCTCTTCACCTCTTCACCTCTCACCTCTTCACCTCTCCACCTCTTCACCTCTCACCTCTTCACCTCTTCACCTCTCACCTCTTCACCTCTCCACCTCTTCACCTCTCCACCTCTTCACCTCTCTACCACTCTCTCTCTCTCTCCGCGGGGTCGAGACGCGGACGTGAAGCGGAGGCAGCTGAGAAAGAGGCGAAGGCACGCGCAGAGCGACGAGATGCGGACAAGGTGAGTCAAGAGACGAGATGCGGGCAAGATGAGACAAGGTTCGTTTATTAGGTGTAGGCCTGTGAGCCATGCGGCTCTTAAGTCGGGTGCAACCGCAACAAACAAAATTTGAACACAGAACATCTTAAAGCGACAACGCGTAACAGAAACATCCTGGAATAAACCAGCAAATATTCCACACACACACACAAAAACGTATTAAAACGCTGTGTGCAAAAATCACAATGTGGTGCAAGCCAACAACAACAACCATAAGACAATTTAAATTAACCATATGCTTTCGAATCACCCAAGACAAGACTGCACATGAGCAGTGGACTCTGAGGTCTGTAGGACGATATGCAGGCGTCAAGCACAAGATGACGTGCAGGGAGATCGAATCGAACCGTCAGCTTTCTGGATTGCAAGTCCAATGTGCTGGGCATTACAATGCGGAATCGTCCGTAACTTTTTATTGCACTCTTTTCATTCTTTCGTTTAATATGTCACTACATTGTCAAAAATTTTAATGCATTTTACAAGCATCAAAACAAGTATAATAAAGTCGTTCGTATAAATATTTTTTTTTTAAATGAATAGTGTACATTGTAAAAGTGCAATACTATACATTATTATTATTGGGAATAGATTTTGTTGACCCAGGAAAACCTCGCTAAAGCCACAATTATCTTATTAAAGGATAGTCCTATTACGTTTTCACAGTAGGGGGCGACTATTGCTGTGTTTCATGTTTCCCCAATTAAATTTCGAGTACTGTAACTTACAAAAAAATTGTACTATGACGCCAGCACACGTGGCCGCATTTTTTAATCTCCAAATAAAGTCACAATATTTGTAACTTTTCGATTTAAAGCTTTCGTGACTGCAATATTATTGTGTTATTTTATTTTATCAATTTATTATTTTATTCTCATTCTACGTGACTTTACCGAAAGTGAGAATATTATTGTGTTATTTTATTTTATCAATTTATTATTTTATTCTCATTCTACGTGACTTTACCGAAAGAACCAAAGAAGAATATTTGTAACGTTTACTGTGATGCAGATGGCGAATAATTGTTTTGTTAATACACCCGCAGTATTTACCAGGGCGGCCGTATTATCGACGCTTCATTTCATGCAACGAGCGACACATTCTACTGGACGTCTCTGAAAAGGAACTTCATAGCTCATCGGCTACCCCCAGTATAAATAAAGATTCTGAACTCACTGCAAGCTGGGCCATAAACATCGAGTGGATTGAAGTATTACGAGTATAGAGTTCTCTTTACAATAGCAAACATGACTCGAATTATATATTAGAACTCTACTTAGCTTTACTGACAACTATTCGTGATGCCATGCTCCCTCCCTCCTTCAACAAGCACTGTCCCAGGGTGGTAAAGCATGATTAAACATCATCCACGACTGACACGGTGTTGTGGGGAGGCCCTTCAACATTACGTTATCGGTGTTATGTATTCCCAGTTGCATGAAGTTCATGCAGCATTGAGTATGAGATTCATATTAAATGGTCTGAAACCCCGGAGTCAAATTGCATGCTATAGTTGTGTGTATGTGTGTTTGTATGTTTGTATATATGCGTGACAGTTTACAAAAGGGAGTTCGTATGACCGAGTGGAAAAATACAAAGCTCCTCGCGTGCCACGTGTGCCCTTTCCCTTGCTTCCAATGCTCCTTGAACTCTTGATGTCACCCACGTGTCTCCCGTTGTGTTGCGCAATGTTTTGGAAAGAAGTTTGCACGACGCCTCTATGATGGACGCAGCAGGCCCTCTGCTCTGGGTGGAGGTGGATGAGGTGTGGAACGTTTGACATTTCCACTCTCAGCCGTTATCCGCGAATTCCCCTACCTCGCACTTGCTGTGCCGCACATACATACGATCAATCTAGATTTTCAAGTGCTCGGTGTTACCAGACTGACTGTTCGATCTCATCCACGCTGTGGTCAACCACGCACACTGCGGGTCACAGCGACGACAAACATCCCCCGTGTGGCCTTAATAGATTCTTGGGGAAAGTTCTGTTCGCGAGCACCTGTGACGGCCGGCACGGCACACAGGCGGATGGGTGACCAGCACAAAGCCCGGCCGCCTTTGTCTCCCGAGCAACGATATTTAATTGCCCCACCAGGTACTCTTTTAAGGCTGAGTCGACGTAGCTAAGTCCCAGGATCGGTTCAGATAATCGTCACTGGTGTTGGCCGGCCACGAGCGGGAATCGGGCGCCGAGTTCGTAGTGCAGCACGCTAACCGCTGCGCCACCGCTCCCCACATGTCACTTCCCTTACTACTCATCTTTGGGATTCCATCACATCGTCGCTTTTCCCCAAGTTCTATACTTCAAGAAACGCATCGCATTATATCTATTGCACATTGAACAGAGACGTTTGTTGCTGGCCGCGCGGCGTTTTTGGCCAGTGCGAGTGACTGTGATTTAATATATCCATGTACTGTGTGTGTGTGTGTTGTGCAGGTAAACTGAAAAGCGACAGTGCAGCGGTGAACACGCTGCGCTATGAACCCGGCGGCCCGAGTTCGATTCCCGTTGACGGCCAACACCGGTGACGATTATCTGAACCGGTCCTGGGCCTCCCCATGTCGACTTAGACTCAAATGATGTGTAAACATCGTCACTAGGGAGACAAAGGCGGTCGGGCTTAGTGTTGGCCACCCACCCCCCTCGTGTGCCGTGCCGGCCTTTATAGGTGCTCGCAAACAACACTTGGCCCAACAGTCTGTTAAGGCTACAAGGGGGATCATTGTCTTTGTTAAACTGAAAGAACTGCTTTGGCATACAATGCACGTGGTGAAAACCATCACCACAGCCGTCATCATTATGCATTCTTAATTACCGCGAAAGAACTTTAATTACTCTACCGTATTAGGCGTTGGAGCGGAGGTGCAGCGGTTAGCGCACTGCACGACGAGCGTGGCGACCTGAGTTTGACGTCCCAGGCATTGGCCAACATCAGTGGGGAGCGAATATCTGAGCTGGGCTCGCAGGAACCTCCCATGGACCACCAACCCAAACTCACCACCACCGTGGTTGAAGTATGGTCAAACCACCTTCATGACCTCGTGAATACATGACATAAATTGGAACGTACGTGCATATAACACGTGCAATGCTTACAAACTGTGTGTGTGTTTGCATCTGACACAGTAGCATATAAGCAAATAAAGAGTAGTCGATCGGAATGGTTGATCTTGTTCTTTGACACAATCGCAGCCACACATGTTACCCCTGGAGTCTTAAAGTGCCAGCCTTC